ACTACCACTCTCTATCATCCATGGATCTATCTAGCCTCCTTTTAAAACTTTCCAGCGTTCCAGCACTTACTACAAAGTTGCTAAGCTTGTTCCACCTTATTTGTGAACCAGTTCCTTCCTATCTCCCTCCTAAACCTAAACTTATCCAACTTAAATCCGTTGCTACGAGTCCTATCCTGCTCGGATATTATAAGAACTTTATCTATATCTCCTTTATTGATTCCTTTCACCCACTTAAATACTTTTGTCATATCTCCCCGCACTCTTCGTCTTTCTAGGGAATGCAAGTTTAGTTTCTTTAATTTATCTTGATATGAAAGGTTTCCAAGTCCCGGAATTATTTTCGTCACTCTTCGCTGCACCGACTCTAGTGAATTGATATCCATTCTATAATAAGGGCACCAGAAATGAACAGCATAATCGAGGTGCGGCCTGACTAGCACAAGATATAGTTGCAATAAGACCTCTGCACTCTTATTACTTACACTTCTAGATATAAAACCTAATACTTTATTTGCCTTATTTCGAACATTAACGCACTGTTTTCTAGGCCGTAGGTCCGGGCTTACAAGTGCCCCTAAGTCTCTTTCAAAAGTTGATTTCTCTAGGTTGATGTTGTTAAGGCTGTATACATTGACATTATTTGTTCTTACAATATTAAGTATGCTGCACTTGCTGGTGTCGAATTTTATTTGCCATTTGTCTGACCACCCCTGCAGTTTATTTAAGTCCTCATGTAGTGCATTTGGAACCCTGCCCTGAATTAATCTACCGCCCTATTTTAGTGTCATCCCCAAACTTGCTCATGTCACTGCTGATCCCAATATCTAGAGCGTTTATGTAGATTATTAACAAGAGTGGGCCCAGTACTGACCCCAGGGGAACCCCAGTGTTTACACAGCCCCACTCAGATTTAACACCATCTACGCTGACCCTCTGTGTTCTATCGGCGAGCCATGATTTTATCCAATTTAAGACTTTCCCCTCGATACCCTGAGCCTTAACTTTTCTCAGAAGCCTTTGATGGGGTACTCTGTCAAACACTTTGCTAAGTAAATAACATCGTAATTTTCGTCATTATCTACGACATCGAAGACTGTCCTAAAAAAACATCAGCAGATTTGTTAGACAAGATTTTCCCTTTGTAAACCCATGTTGAGAGTCATAGATTAATTATTTTCTCCAAATGCGATCGGATGCTATTTGCTATAATTGATTCAAGAAATTTCCCCACTACTGACGTCAAACTGATCGGCCGGTAATTTGACGCTGATGCTCTGTCTCCCTTTTTGAATATGGGTATTACATTTGCCTGTTTCCACAAGTCTGGCACAACTCCCGTGTCTAATGATTTTGTAAATATATTTACGAGGGGTCCGCTAATCTGTTCCTTACACCCTTTCAAAACTCGAGGGAAAATTTCATCCGGCCCTGGGAATTTTTTCTTCTTTAATTTATTTATCTTCTTAAGAACATCCTCTTTTCTGATAGTGATATTCTTTCATTTCTCTTCTTCATTTCCCCTAAATATCAGTTCCACCTCTGGAATTTTCTCGTGAATTTCTTCTGTGAAAACTGATAAGTAGCTGTTTAATGCTTTGCTTATTTCCTCACTATCATCGATCACTTCCCCCCTCTCCCTGACTTTAAAGGTCCCACTTTGTCCTTGGCCTTTTAACCTTTGTCCTATACACCTGGAAAAATCCCTTGGGATTCGTCTTGGATTCTCTTTCTACCCTGATTTCGTAGTCCCTCTTTGCCTTCCTTAAATTTTTCTTAACATTCCTAGATAGTTCATTATACCAATTTCTGAGCTGCACCTCTCCTCCCTTTAATTTCTTATAAATTCCTTTCTTTATTCCTATGTCATGTTTAAGTTTTCTGGTCATCCACCTTGGCTCATTCTTATTTGAACTAATTTTTCTGTATGGTATATTTTGTTCTTAGGCTTTACGTAGTATACTAGTGAATATAACAAAACACAACACAGGCTAATAACACAACATAACACAGGACAACACACAACGGCAAAACACACGTTAATAAGACAACACAACACAACACAGGGTATACATCGAGTCCTGAAGGCAGATGACCCGGAGAGGATGTGTACAGGTAGACGCCCGGGAACAAGACATTATTATTATTACACTGTACTCAAGTGTATTACAACACCCACGACACACTATACCGTCTCCAGGCTTGAAATACACATCATTTGACTTGTGAGCTTTGATGTTGAAGAATGATTACCTGGGAAAATACTCCAAAATAATAAATGGTATCGAACAAAATTTCCCTGGACAAATTGTAAACATATAAAAACCCACTGGACAAAATGTTACCAGATAAAAACCCACTGGACAAAATACCAAACCCCACTAGCTTCATTATAAAACCTGTACAGAACCCGCCAAGTCATGTCCCTCAAGCCCTACCCAACGCTCCGTGGCTAAATCAGGTTTGCTTTCAGTGGGAATTTTGTCTCCTGGCGGATTTTTTTAACAACTTGGAGGAGGAGGAGGTGATGTTTTTCTATGAGGAGTGAGTGACGCTGCAGGTCTGGTGTGCGGCGCTTCTCAACATGTGTTGTTGTTGACGCTTCACGAACGCCTTTGATATTCATTGTATTATTCACGTGGTTTGTTATTCATTTGACCTGCTCGCTTGCTTCAAGGTATAAGTACAACGCCTGTGTATAAATATATTCTTATTGTTGTTATTTTCTGTTCTTTTTGTTCAATATTCCTGGACATAGAACGAGACATCTTAATTTAACGTCTAGCTAGCGGCTCCGGTTATGTTGCTACACATAAATTGAACCGATATTCAGCTGTACACGTGATTGATTATTTTTGATTGACATGCGATTCAGTCTACCACCACATTACTGTTTTAAAGTTAAATAATACATATATATATATATATAATCATCATCAGCTTGTGTCATTCATGGGTGGATAAAGATGAAGGTTTACCTCATATGATCCACAACACAACACCCTCATCACCAACACTCTCACAGGTCACCTTCCCCCAGGAGTGTCGGCCTCACAACCCTCCCAACCTCAATAAACTTGTATAAACCTTAAATTTCACACGATATAACGATACGTGGATGGTTTTCGAGCGCATTGGATATTTTTTTTTACACGTGTGATTTATGGCAGACAATGACCAGCTCTACGGCACCCTTGAAAAAAAAAATCACGATATTAATGTTGGAATTTCCTCAGTGTTTCTGCCGACTGTATGATAACATAACTAATAATCTCATCGCTTGTGTGTGCAGGGAGGAGGGGGGGGGGAGTAAATGGAGGAGGAATAAGCTTATATCCAGAGTTGTTGTCGTTGTCCTTGACTGTCTTCAGGTACGCGGTGGTGTTTTTATCTCCCCCCCCTCTCCACACACACACACACGCACACACACACACACACACACACATACGTCATCAGGTTAAGTTAGGTCACGTCAGGTTAGTTTAGCATCGATATGACTCACGTTAGGTTTGGTTTAGTTAGGTTCAGGGCAAGACATGTTGTACTGTGTCACGTTGAGTTTGGATTACGTTAGTTTACGTTTAAATGCGTTTTAGTGTGCGATAGGATGTGATAAGTTCCACAATGTTAAGTTATAGAATGGCCACGTCGAGGGGAAGGAAGTCAGTGGCATGTGTAGGGTCACTCCTTTGTTCTTGATCGCCTTTCCAGGACTAGTTTTAAGCCCAGTACTGTTCTTGCTTCCACGGTTTGTGCTGGTGTATGGTTCACACTGCGTTACAAAAAGTACTTCACTATATTCGTCCAGCATTAAAACGTAGCGATCTTGAAACTTGAGATCATGTGCCTATAGCGCTTGATGATATCTTGAAGAGGCGAGCTGGGTTTCCATGTGGTCCGCCCTGCCTTGTCTTGCTTGAAGTTGTCAGTCCCAAGGCCGCCCAGCCTGGCTCCCTGAATATCCCATTAGATAGTTTAAAGTAATGTTATACTATACTAGACTGCTTGGCCTGTGACTCTGCTTAACACTTTTTCAGGGTGACGTTGGCTGATGAGAGGACATTCTGAACAGTAGTATGAGTGAGTGAAGTACAGTACATATCTCATTCCCACCTCTTCTATCATCTTGTTCTGTGCTCCGTCCACTCCTGCAGGTTTGAATTCCTAATACGGTTTATTTATTTATATTGTCTGCGATCTCCTGTTCATCCTTTATTAGGGCAAACAATTGGCCGCTACCGTACACTATCACGAGAACAGCTGTTGACACACATCACTGTAAGAAAAATAATTCCTCCGGGCTCTCCCCACTGCCTCCACAAAGTTTCTGAACGCGAGTGACGTCACCTGTACGAATGACGTCAGCCCCAAATTCTTTATTTTTCGAAAGGCTTCCTGATAGAGATGAAACAGCAAAAGAAGAGGTATTATTAGTAGTAGCAGTCGTAGTAATAAAATGACTATAGGGGGAAGCTGGAGGCCACGTTAAAAAAAAAAAGTCGTTGTAGTAGTCGTAGTATCATTATTTTTTATCTTTCGTAAAATATTTACTATTATCTTTACAACTGTTAATACCATCACCATACTCTTATCATTATCGGCACCGTTGATACTTAGACACTACTGCCGTGAGCATTCCATCAGTTACATATTTTTTACACCAGGTAATTTTATCACCCCCCAAAGAATAATAACAGTAATATACACAACAACAACTACTACTACTACTACTACTACTACTAATAATAATAATAATAATAATAATAATAAACTAAAACAAACAATAATATTAATAAATAAACTATACACAAAATATTCTCCATATTTTTCCCAATTATTGGACCCAAATGTCGCAAGGCCCCATGTAGCAAGCGCCATTTTGACATCGACAAGTAGGCTACACAGCGTCACCAGAACCTGTCTCCTTATAAAACAAGTTCGATCACTTCACTCTGGAAGACCCAAGTGTGCCAATACTCGGTTTTTAGCCCGGTCTACTGTTATGATTCAGGAGGGTGTTGGTAATACTGCTGGTTTTCTTGGTGTTGGTAATACTGGGTTGGTTCTCTTGGTGTTGGTAATACTGCTGGTTCTCTGGTGGTGGCAAATACTGCTGTCTCTTGTGGTGGTAATACTGGGTTGGTTCTTGGTGGTGGTAATACACCTTTGGTGTTAATACTGCTGTTCTCGGTGGTGGTAATACTGTTGGTTCTCTTGGTGTTGGTAATACTGGGTTGGTTCTCTGGTGGTGGTAATACTGTTGGTTTCTGGTGGTGGTAATACTGGGTTAGTCTCTTGGTGTTGGTAATACTGCTGGTTCTTGTGGTGGTAATACTGGGTTGGCTCTGTGTTGGTAATACGTTGGTTCTTGGTGGTGGTAATACTGGGTTGGTTCTCTTGGTGGTAATACTGTTGGTTCTTTGGTGGTGGTAATACTGGGTTGGCTCTTGGTGTTGGTAATACTGGGTTGGTTCTCTTGGTGTTGGTAATACTGCTGGTTCTTGGTGGTGGTAATACGCTGGGTTCTGGTGTTGGTAATACCGGTTGGTTCTCTTGGTGTTGGTAATACTGGTTGGTCTCTTGGTGGTAATACTGGTTAGTTCTCTGGTGTTGGTAATACTGTTGGTTCTGGTGCTGGTAATACTGTTGGTTCTCTTGGTGTTGGTAATACTGCTGGCCTCTGGTGTTGGAATACTGGGTTGGTCTCTGGTGGTGGTAATACTGCTGGTTCTCTTGGTGTTGGTAATACTGGGCTGGTTCTGTGTTGGTAATACTGGCTGGTTCTCTTGGTGTTGGTAATACTGGGTTGGCTCTTCCTTGGTGTTGGGAATACTGGTTGGCTCTCTTGGTGTTGGTAATACTGTTGGTTCTCTTGGTGTTGGTAATACTGCTGGTTCTCTTGGTGCTGGTAATACTGGGTTGGTTCTCTGGTGTTGGTAATACTGGGCTGGTTCTCTTGGTGTGGTAATACTGGGCTGGCCTCTTGGTGTTGGTAATACTGCTGGTTCTTGGTGTTGGTACTGCTGGCCTCTTGGTGTTGGTAATACGGTTGGCTCTCTTGGTGTTGGTAATACGGCTGGTTCTCTTGCTGGTAATACTGGGTTAGTTCTCTTGGTGTTGGTAATACTGTTGGTTCTCTTGGTGTTGGTAATACTGGGTTGGCTCTCTTGGTGTTGGTAATACTGGTTGGTTCTCTGGTGTTGGTAATACTGCTGGTTCTCTTGGTGGTGGTAATACTGTTAGTTCTTGGTGTTGGTAATACTGGGTTGGTTCTTGGTGTTGGTAATACTGGGTTGGTTCTCTTGGTGTTGGCAATACCGCTGGTTCTCTTGGTGTTGGTAATACTGCTGGTCTCTGCTGGTAATACTGGGTTGGTTCTCTGGTGGTTGGTAATACTGGGTTGCTCTCTTGGTGTTGGTAATACTGGGTTGGTTCTCTTGGTGGTGGTAATACTGGGTTGGTTCTCTTGGTACTGGGTTAGTTCTCTTGGTGTTGGTATTACTGGGTTGGTTCCACTGTGTTATTATTGTAATGGATTTTGTCTTATGAAACTCTTGGCAGGATTTACATTCGCCAATTTTAATCACCACTATAATGAAAAGGATTAATGCCCATAATTATTTCACCTGAAGATTAGACACTCCAGCTTATTTCACCTGAAGATTAGACACTCCAGCTTATTTCACCTGAAGATTAGACACTCCAGCTTATTTTACCTGAATTACCCATCCGAACACTACTACGCGTTCGGATAAGTTTAGTTATACGAGTATTAGGCAGAGAAGGAGCCTGGGTAGGTGTGGAGGAGGAAGCCAGTAGCATAGTGTGCGATTGAGGGAAGGAGCCAGTAGGTGTAGTGTGAGGGAGGGAAGAGCCAGTAGGTGTAGTGTGAGGGGAGAGAGGGAAGGAGCGAGATGTTAAAGGGATTGAGGGAAGGACACAGGGTGTATGAGGGAGGAAGCCAGTAGCAGTGTGGGGAGGGAGCCAGTACGTGTAGTTTGAGTGGGAGGAGCCAGAAGGTGTATGTGAGGGAGAGAGGGAAGGAGCCAGTAGATGTTGGAGGATTGAGGGAAGGATCCAGTAGGTGTAGTGAGGGGAGGAAGGAGCCAGTAGGTGTAGTGTGGAGGGAGGGAGGGAGCCAGAGATGTTGTGCGAGGAGGGAAGGAGCCAGTAGGTGTAGTTTGAGGAGGAGGAGCCAGTAGGTGTAAGGTGAGGAGGAGGGAGCGAGCAGGGCAGAGTGAGGGAGGGAGGGAGCCAGGTGAAGTGTGGAGAAGGGCCAGTAGGTGAAGTGTGAGGGAGGGAGCCAGTAGGTGAAGGGAGGGGAGGGAGGGAAGAGCCCAGGTGAAGCAGGAGGGAGGGAGCCAGCAGGCAAGGGGAGGGGAGGGAGCCAGTGAAGTTTGAGGGAGGAGCCAGTAGGTGTAGTGTGAGGGAGGGAGCCAGTAGGGCATAGTGAGGGAGGGAGCCAAGTGTAGTTTGAGGAGGGAGGAGCCAGTAGGTGTAGGGGAGGAGGGAGGAGTCGAGCTGGTTAAAGGAGTGAGGGAAGGAGCCAGTAGGTGTAGGTGAGGGAGGGAGGGAGGAGCCAGTAGGTGAGAGGAGGGAAGGGAGCCAGTAGGTGTAGTGTGAGGGAGGGAAGGAGCCAGTAGGTGTAGGAAGGAGGGAGGGAAGGAGTCAGTTGGTGTTGAGAGTGAGGGGAAAGGAGCCAGTAGGTGTGTGGGGGAGGAGGGAGGTGTGAGGGAGAGAGAAGGAGCAGTAGGTGTGTGTGAGGGGAGGGAGGGAGCCAGTAGGTAGAGGGAGGGAGGGAGGGACCAGCAGGCAGGAGAGTGAGGAAAGGAGCCAGTAGGTGGTTGGAGTGAGGGGAGGGAGCCAGTAGGTGAAGCTTGGAGGAGGAGGAGCCAGTAGGTGTGTGAGGGAGAGAGGAAGGAGCCAGTAGGTGTAGTTTGAGGAGGGAGGAGCCAGAAGTGTAGTGGAGGGGAGGGAGGAAAGGACCAGTAGGTGTAGTTTGAGGGAGGGAAGGAGCCAGTAGGTGTAGTGTGAGAGGGAAGGAGCAGTAGAGGGAGCAAATAGGTGTAGTTTGAGGAGGGAAGGAGCCAGGTGGAGCTTGAGGGGAGGAGGGAGCCAGTAGGTGTAGTTTGAGGAGGAGGAGCCAGTAGGTGAGCTGAGGAGGAGCCAGGTGTAGTAAGAGGAAGGAGCGAGGTGTAGAAGGAGCAGTAGGTAGTGAAGGAGGACAGCAGGTAGTGTGAGGGAGGGAGAGCCAGTAGGCAGGTGAGGGAGGCCAGGCAGGTGAGGAGGAGGGAGGGCCTGTAGGTGGAGTTGAGGGAGGGAGGGAGCCAGTAGGTGGAGTTTGAGGAGGAAGAGCCAGTAGGTGAAGTTAGGGAGGAAGGAGCCAGTAGGTGTAGTTTGAGGAGGGAAGGAGCCAGTAGGTGTAGTGTGGGAGGGAAGGAGCCAGTAGGTGTAGTTTGAGGTAGGGATGGAGCCAGAGGTGCAGTGAGGGGAGGGGCCAGTAGGTGTAGTTTGAGGAGGGAGGAGCCAGTAGGTGGAGTTTGAGGAGGGAGGAGGGAGCCAGTTGGTGATTGAGGAGGAGGAGCCAGCAGGTGTAGTTTGAGTGAGGAGGCCAGGGGGTGAGGGATGAGGGATGGCCGGGAGGGAGGGTAGTAGGGTGAAAGAGGGAGGCAACAGGTGTTGTGTGAAAGAGCTACAGGTGTGAGGAGGAGCCAGTAGGTGTAGTGAGGGAGGGAGCCACAGGTGTAGGTGAGGAGGAGGGAGCCAGCAGGTGAGCGGAGGAAGGAGCCAGCAGGTGTGAGGAGGGGAGGAGGTGAGTTGAGGAGGAGGAGCCAGTAGGTGTAGTTTGAGGAGGAGGAGCGAGAGGTGTAGGTGAGGGAGGAAGGAGCAACAGGGTGTGTGAGGAGGGAGGCAACAGGTGTGTGAGGAGGGTAGGAGCCACAGGTGGAGTTTGAGGAGGGAGGAGCCAGAGGTGGAGTTTGAGGAGGGAGGAGCCAGCAGGTGAGTGAGGAGGGAGGAGCCAGGGGTGAGCTGGAGGGAGGAGGGAGCCAGGTAGCTGGGGAGGGAGGGGAGGTGGAGTTTGAGGGAGGGAGGGAGCCAGGTGTAGTTGGAGGGAGGGAGGAGCCAGTAGGTGTAGTTGAGGGAGGGAGGAGGAGCCAGTAGGTGTGAGGAGGGGAAGGAGCAATAGGTGTTGGTGTGAGTGAGGGAAGGAGCTGATGTATGTGAGGAAGGAGCCAGGTAGATTGAGGGAGAGAAGGAGCCAATAGGTGTAGGGAGGGAGGGAGCCAGTAAGGAAGCTAAGGGAGGAGCCAGTAGGTGCAGGGAGGGAGGAGCAGTTGATGTAGTGAGGGAGGGAAAGCCAGTAGGTGTAGTGTGAGGGAGGAGGAAGGAGCCAGCAGGTGGAGGAGGAGGAAGGAGCCAACAGGAGGTGAGCTAGGTGAGAGAGGGAGAGGAGTAGGTGCAGTTTGAGGAGGAGGAGCCAATAGGTGCAGTGTGAAGGAGGAGCCAGTAGTTTGAGGAGTGGCCAAGGCAGGAGGGGAGGAGCCAAGTGTAGTTTGAGGAGGAGCCAGGCAGGAGAGAGGAGCCAGTAGGTGTAGTTTGAGGAGGAGCGCAGGTGGCAGTGTGAGGGGAGGAGAGCCAGTAGGTGTAGTGAGGGAGGGAGCAGGGAAGGAAGGAGGGAGCCAGCAGGTGTAGGTGAGGGAGAGGAGCCAGTAGGTGTAGTTTGAGGAGGGAGGAGAAGCTAGCAGGTGTGGAGGAAGGAGCAATAGGTGTGTGAGGGAGGAGGAAGCAAGGGAGTGGAGAGCCAGTAGGTGGATTTGGAGGAGGAGGAGCCAGTAGGTGGAGTTTGAGGAGGAGCCAGGTAGTTGGAGGAGGAGGACAGTAGGTGTAGTTTGAGGAGGGAGGAGAGCCAGTGAGGAGGAAGCTTGAGGGAGGAGAGAGGTGGAGGAGGAGGAGCCAGTGTGAGGGAGGAGTGAGGACAGGTGTAGTTTGAGGGAGGAGAGAGCCAGGTTGAAGGAGAGAGCCAGTAGGTAGTTTGAGGGAGGAAGGAGCCAGCAGGTTTAATGTGAGGGAGGAAGGAGTCAGGTAGGTGAATGAGGAGGGGGCCAGTAGGTGGAGTCGGAGGGAGGAGGCAGAGCCTGAGGGAGAGGTCAGCAGGGGAGTTGAGGAGGAGGGAGCCAAAGGAGTTTGAGGGAGGGAGGAGCCAGTAGGTGGAGTTTGAGGAGGAGCCAGGTGTAGCTTAAGGGAGGAAGGAGCCAGTAGGTGTAGTTTAAGGGAGGAAGGCAGGTGTAGTTTGAAGGAGGGAAGGAGCCAGGTGAAGTGGAGGAGGATGGAGCCAGGTGCAGTGTGAGGAGGCAGGAGCCGGAGGGAGGGAGGAGCCAGTAGGTGGAGTTTGGAGGAGGGAGGGAGCCAGAGTTGAGGAGCTGGGTGAAGGAGGAGGAGCCAGGTGGTTGGAGGAGGAGGGAGCCAGTAGGTGTAGTTTGGAGGGAGGGAGGAGGACAGTAGGTGAAGAAGGAGGGAGCGAGTAGGTGTGTGGGGAGGGAGGAAGGAGCCAATAGGTGTGAGTGAGGGTAGGAGCCACAGGTGTTGTGTGAGTGGAGGGAGGAGCCAGTAGGGTGTAGTGGAGGAGGAAGGAGCCCATAGGTGTTGTGTGAGGAGGGAGGAGCCAGTGAGGTGGAGCTTGAGTGAGGGAAGGACCAGGGTGTGGTGTGAGGAAAGGGACCAGTAGGTGTAGTGTGAGGGAGGGAAGGAGCCACAGGTGTCTGGAGGAGGAGTGGTCAGCAGGTGAGCCTGAGTGAGTGGAAGGATTAACAGGTGTGAGGAAGGAGGGGCCAGTAGGTGTGTGGGGAGGAAGGAGCCAATAGGTGTGAGGGAGGGAGCCAGTAGGTGTGAGGGAGGGAAGGTCAAGGGAGGAGGGAGCCAGCAGGTGAGCTTGAGGGAGGGGAAGGAGCCAGTAGGTGTTGTGTGAGGAGGTAGGAGCCAGGTGGAGTTTGAGTGAGGGGAGGAGCCAGGTGGAGTTTGAGGAGGAGGAGCCAGTAGGTGGAGTTGGAGGAGGGAGGAGCCAGCAGGTGTTGGAGGGAGGAGGAGCCAGTAGGTGGAGTTTGAGGGAGGGAGGAGCCAGTAGGTGAGTGGAGGAGGAGGTGTAGTGTGAGGAGGGAAGGACAATAGGTGTGAGGAGGAGGGACACAGGGTACAGGAGGAGGGTAGGGACACAGGGTGGAGTTTCAGGAGGGAGGGAGCTGAGGGAGGAGGAGCCAGGTGAGGGAGGAGGAGCCAGTAGGTGGAGTTTGAGGAGGAGGGAGCCAGTAGGTGTAGTTTGAGGGAGGGGAGGGAGGAGCCAGTAGGTGGAGTTGAGGGAGGAGGGAGCCAGTAGGTGAAGTTTGAGAGGGAGGAGCAGGGGTAGCTTGAGGGAGGGAGGAGGAGCCAGGTAGAGGAGGGAAGGGGCCAATAGGTGTTGTGTGAGTGAGGGAAGGAGCCAGTTGATGTAGTGTGAGGGAAGGAGCCAGAGGTGTAGATTGAGGAGAGAAGAGCCAATAGGTGTAGTGGAGGAGGAGCCAGTATGAAGTTTGAGGGAGGGACCAGCAGGTTCAGTGTGAGGAGGAACAGTTGATGTAGTGTGAGGAGGGAAGAAGCCTGTAGGTGTAGTGAGGAGGAGCCAGTAAGAGGGAGGGAAGGAGCCAATAGTGTATGGGAAGGAGGAGCCAGGTGTAGATTGAGGAGGAGCCAGGTGTGGAGGAGCCAGTAGGTGTAGTGGAGGGAGGGAGGGAGGAGCTAGGTGTAGTTTGAGGGAGGGAAGGAGCTAATAGGTGCAGGAGGGAGGAGCAGTGTAGTTTGAGGGAGGAGCTAGCAGGAGAGAGGGAGCCAGTAGGTGTAGTTTGAGGGAGGGAGGGAGCCAGTAGGTGCAGGTGAGGGACGGAAAGAGCCAGTAGGTGTAGTGTGAGGAGGAGCCCGGTGTAGTAAGGAAGAGAGGGAGCAGGTGTATGGAGGGGAGGAGGGCAGTAGGTGTAGTTTGAGGGAGGGAGGAGGAAGGAGCCAGTAGAGGGGAAGGAGGGGAGGGAAAGCAAGTAGGTAGTGAGGGCCAGTAGGTGGGAGGGGAGGGAGCAGCTGGGTGTGAGGGAGGGAGGAGCCAGTGTAGTGGAGGGAGGAGCCAGCAGGTGTAGGGGTGAGGGAGGGGAGCCAGTAGGTGTGAGGGAGGAAGGAGCCAACAGGTGTAGAGAGGAGGAGGAGCAGTAGGTGTAGTTTGAGGAGGGAGGAGGAGGGGAGGAGGAGCGAGCCAGTAGGTGAGGGAAGGAGCCTGCAGGTGTAGTGTGAGGGAGGAGGAGCCAGTAGGCATAGGAGGGAGGGAACCAGTAGGTGTAGTTTGAGGAGGGAGCCAGTAGGTGTAGGAGGAGCCAGAGGCAGTGTGAGGGAGGAGCCAGTAGGCATAGTGTGAGAGGGAGGTCAGCAGGCATGTGAGGGAACCAGTAGGTCAGTAGGTGTTGTGTGAGGGAAGGAGGGAGCCAGCAAAAGAGGGAAGGGAGCCAGGTGGGAGCCAGGTGTAGTTGAGGAGGAGAGAGCCAGTAGGTGTAGCTTGAGGGAGGAGAGAGCTAGGTGTAGTGTGAGGGAAGGAGGGAGCTAGTAGGTGTAAAGGAGGGGGGGAGCCAGTAGGTGGAGTTTGAGGGAGGAGGGCCAGTAGGTGTAGTTTGAGGAGGGAGAGAGCTTAGGTGTAGTGTGAGGAGGGGAGGGCCAGTAGGTGTTGGTGAGGGAAGGAGGGAGCTAGTAGGTGTAGTGTGGAGGGAGGGAGGAGCCAGTAGGTGTAGTTTTAGGAAAGGGAGGAGCGATTAGGTGTGAGGGAGGTGAGGGGCCAACGCGTGTAGTGTGAGGGACAGAGGGAGCCAAAGGTAATGTGAGGGAGAGAGGAAGCGATTGAGGTTAGTGTGAAGGAGAGAAGGAGGTAACCAGTGTTGTGCTCTGGCTCACAGGTAAAAGTTATGACGTCAGGAAGTGGGCGGAGCTACACGGTGACGTAGTGTGGGTTTTCTGAATATATTCACACGAAACCTTGTGTGGGCCACCCGACTACTTAACCCTTTTCTTTATTCCTCCCATCCTCCATGACGATATCGCTGGAAAGACGCAGATCGGATGGCAATATTTATTCACGAAAGATTATGAACGATTAACATTTGTTTTACGGAGAATATCATACGGATTTATTTGCTGGCTGCAGCTGGTGATTTATTTATAAATTCATTCTTTTCGCTTGTGTAATATCTGATGTTAAATATGGATGTCAACGTCACGTTGAAGAGAGCCAAGTGTTGCTTGTTTGTGGTGTGCATGTTTTTCCTAGAGGACCGCTTGATGTACTGTAGGTCTGGCTGACGATGTGAGACAATTCATACATGCAATATATCCGTTGCTTTCATGACATTAACAACGAGCTAATTATAATCTTTATCAATAATACTACATGTTTGCACCAATCTAAATTTTTGCACTGAAGATGAAAATCCTTGCGGTAGAGAGACTACCAAGCTTAAATTTCAAGAGGCCTTGGCAATACTGGCGAGTCGCAACCGGGCCAATATAAGGAGCCGCGCGGGCCCTGGTCAACACAGTCACTCGCAGAGGCGTGTTCTAGTGAGAGAGTGTGAGGTGCTACGGACTTTGCTACACTCCTGGAGATATTTTAAGGTAATTTAATTCACCCGAGTTCTTGTTCTGATAAGACTCCTGTTGTGAGTGTGGATGCGACGATCATATTGCGTGGTGGTGCTGGGCGACTCATTATTGCTCATGTGACTTAATTGCCTGTTAGCCCCGGTTGGAAGATATTCAGTGCTGGAGGCTCCCCCGAATCAAACAAAACAAACATTAAACAAAACACTGAGTAAAAACAGTAATCAAACCAATATAAATAAACAAAGGCAATAAACAAAACTTGAATATATAAGTAAATAAATAACACAGGTTCGTAGGTATAAATTTTCCCTCAGTACTGACGTTAAGAGCAAGCAGCTGGTCGGTCAGGTCACTATTATTGTTGTGGTTGAGTTCTGGTGGTACTGTGGACAAAGCCTTTCAGCCATAACTAATAATATCTCTTGAAAAGCGAATTGTGTGTAACTTTTCATAAGACGTATTCGATTGGGTGTGTATATGCAAATCTACTGTGTGAGAGAGAGAGAGAGAGAGAGAGAGAGAGAGAGAGAGACCACTACCAGCGTTGTTTTCTGAAATGTATAAAATTCACTTTGACAGCCAGCAAGGTTTGTTGTCTAAGAATGATGTAAGCAGGGCGTGTGTGGTCAGAACTAGGGATGTAGTGTGTGAGGTGAGCAGGCCAGGTGGGCGTTCCAGTCTCATTGACAAGAACTGTATTGTTGCCTGACGCATGAAGGCCAGAGGCCACTCCTCGCCCGTTGTTGGTCACGTGATATGAGTGTGGATATAGAAAAGTGTGATTAGCTATAGAAAGGTGTGGTTAGCTATAGAAAGGTGTGGTTAGCTATAGAAGGGTGTGGTTAGCTATAGAAAGGTGTGGTTAGCTATAGAAAGGTGTGGTTAGCTATAGAAAGGTGTGGTTAGCTATAGAAGGGTGTGGTTAGCTATAGAAAGGTGTGGTTAGCTATAGAAAGGTGTGGTTAGCTATAGAAAGGTGTGGTTAGCTATAGAAAGGTGTGGTTAGCTATAGAAAGGTGTGGTTAGCTGTAGAAAGGTGTGGTTAGCTGCAGTGTGGTGTGGTTGGCTATAGAGTGGTGTGGTTAGCTATCGTGTATTGTAAACCATGTGGTTAGCTACAGTGTAGTGTGGTGTAGTGTAGTGTAGGAACACTTGGGAGAAGAAAGGTATTTGTAAAATAATGGTGACAGGTGACACCGTCTTCCAGGCAGTTTTATGGATCTTTCAGTCGGATCTAGAATCTTTTCGTAGGATAAATATCAAAACTATATTTTACTGTATACAGAAAAAAAAAGTTTATTGAGGGGAGTTGAGGAGGGTGTAGTTGTGTTTAGGTATTGGCAACAATGGAGGCTTCGGGAAGTTTACGAAACTAGTTTTTCTTAGCGTTTTTTGTGACTCCGCTCACACAGAATTATCTCCCCCACTACAGTTCTTGGCCCCACCACCAACCTACTTCATTATTATCATCCGTTTTCTGCGATGAAAATAAACTATTAATGCGATTTTCTTACGTGAACTTTGCTTATTTATTCGTTTTACTGCATCTTAATTGAGAATGGAAAAATTGTTAAGGGAGGAGACTGGGACAAAAGTAGGCTGCCTCGCCCCCTCAGGATCACACTAGGGAGTGAGGAGGAGAAATGGCTGCTGCCCGGCAGGCAAAAAACTTAGCAAGGAGCGAGTATTTCGGGATGTATTTATTCACCCAGACCGCAATTTGCAATGAAGAGGAACAGGCACAAGAAGCTCCTGCTGACCAGCTAGCAAGAGGGAGGAGTCGAGGAGGAACGGGACAGGTGCACATGGGTTATACTCTGTGAGTGGCAGTGGAAACAAGGCAAAGGACACAGCCAGGGGCAGAAACCCCTCCACCCACTCAACCCCCACCCTATAAGGCACCAGCTCAGCCTACCGGACAGGAGGGAACGAGCGCCGTGTAAACAATGACATTTTAACCACACCCTGCAAAATACAGTGTACTGTACTTAGCAAATGCTGCAGCTTCTGAGAATGTGGGTGGAGTGGGGTTTATTACTAAGAGCAGAGACGTTACCGAGAACAAATTCCAACAACAAGTCATGTACACTACCGACACGTTCCCATGGGGAGGAGTTTGAAACACTCAATAAGAGTACACCCAACCAGATATTGTAGGAGCAGAACTGTTGCAACATATGGAATCGACCCAGAGGAATGTGGAGTTCAGCACATGACATGACTCCATTTACGAACCTAACTCAAGAATCCTATGTGAGGGTGTATATCTACGCTAGGTACACCTTAAGCCAGCCAGGCGAGTGCCAGGAGAGATGTTTTTGAAGAGTCCAAGTGGTGTAAAATTAAATTAAAGGGAGGTATCATTTCATCGTCGGCACGCACAGATCCCCGAACTGCGCCCACCAAATCAAAGCGCTGAAATCCTAATAAGAACCTAATAAACAATGCGGCGATGCTCAACCCCAGCCACCTCCTTATCATGGGGACTTTAACTATGGCGACATCGACGGAGAAACGAGTCCACCCCGAATGACTCTGAATAATCCTACATTTTTGTAGTAAAACTTGGAGAGATAATTTTCTGTTCCAACATGTGAGAGACCCGACATATTACAGAGGGAGTGCAAACACCCAAGCCACTTGACCTCATCATAACAAACGAGGAGGGTATGGTGGCCAAACCGGAAACACCTGCTCCCCAGTTGGCACCAGTCACCATACAGTGTTGTCATTCAGATTTAACTGTTACCTAGTTCAAGATAAGGCCAGGCCAAGGTGCAAATATTATTACAAGGAAATTACAATGGGATGAGTGGAAGAGATGAGGGTATCAACTGGCCTGACTTATTACAGTACAAGAACGCAAGTAATAATTACGCTGAATATCAATTCAGTAAAATGACCCATTTTATCTATTAAATATATACCCAAGACCAAACCCAGTGCTTCTAGGAATACGAGGATCCCTACATTACGAACCATGTGCGGCGGTCGACAAAACAAGAAGAAAACCCAGGAAATTAAGACGTGGTTGGGTCAAACGATGAGCAGGACAGAAGGATGTATGCAAGAGCCAGAAACCAAGCAAAGATAGAGTGTAGGAGGGCTGAAAAGGAGTTCCAAAGGCTGGTTGCACGCGAGGTCAAGTCAAACCCAAAGGCGTTTTACCGCTATGCAAAGTCGAAATTGAAAACGCGAGTAGGAGTATCAGACCTGAGGCTTGAAGATGGTAGTTACGCAGATTCTGACCAGGATAAAGCTGAGGCATTGAACAGCTTCTTTTCCTCAGTGTTCACAAGAGAGGATGCAACTAACCTTCCTGCGTTTGAGGACAGACGGTTCGACACAGCAATGACCCACATTGTGTTCACAGAAGAGGGTATTAGAAATAAACTGTCCAGGCTAAAGGTCCATAAGAGTCCTGGACCTGACATGGTGCATCCTAGAGTGCTAAGAGAGCTGTGCAACGAGCTTGCAGAGCCCTGAAGATTCTGTTTTGTAAATGCCTGGATGAACAAATGGTCCCCAGTGAATGGAAAGTGGCTTATGTGAGTCCTATCTTCAAGAAGGGCGATAGTCACTCCACGAACAACTATAGACCGGTGAGCCTGACCAGCATAATATGTAAAGTACTTGAGCGTATTATCAGAGATGCCGCGATGGAACATCTACTACGAAACAACCTTGTAAAAGATTGCCAACACGGTTTTATGCCGGGGCGCTCTTGCTTGACACAATTGCTCAAGGTATTGGATATTTGGACCTATATTCTAGAACGGGGTGGTAATATCGACAATATTTACCTAGATTTTGCCAAGGCTTTCGACAGTGTACCCCACGAAAGGCTGAAAATCAAACTGGAAGGGTACGGAATTCGGGGAAATGTCCTAGCGTGGATAGAAGACTTTCTACATGACCGCAAGCAATGTGTGGTGATTAATGGCACGAAATCGTCATCTGTACCTGTAACAAGTGGGGTACCGCAGGGTAGTGTATTGGGCCCGCTGTTGTTTGTTTGTTTCATAAATGATATGCCTGACGTTGTACACTCCTCCATACAAATGTTTGCCGATGATGGCAAGTTATTTCGGGAAATTAAGAACCAAGCGGACTGTGAAGAGCTGCAGAAGGACCTCTGTGGGCTCCAGGAATGGTCGAAGGAATGGCTGCTGAGATTCAATGTCACGAAGTGTAAGAGGATGCACCTGGGGCGTACCAACGGTAAGGAGGCGTACCATATGTCCCAACGGGATGAAGAAAATGTACTAGTTGAGACTGTGTGTGAGAAGGACCTAGGTGTGTATGTTGACAATGAGCTGAAGTTCTCGGGCCATTGTGAGAAGAAGGTAAATCAGGCAAATAAATTATTGGGTCTTATAAGAAGGTCGTTCAGATATCTAGACGGTCCGTCCCTCGTGACGATCTTCAGGAGTGAAGTGCTTCCCCATCTGGAGTACTGTCACCCCATCTGGTCCCCGAGATATGCTAGGGACTGTCAGTTGGTTGAAAATGTTCAAAGGAGGGCCACCAAACTGGTGCCTGCACTTCGGCACCTCAGCTACCCTGAGAGATTGGAGCGCCTGAACTTGCCTAGCTTATACTACAGAAGGGGGGAACCTAGTTGAGGTTTATAAGCATCTCAGGGGAACTACTCAGTTGAGTGTCCTTACTTGGAGCTGGCGGACGCTCGCCCCACAAGGGGTCACAGCTCAAGATTGAAGAAGCCGCAAGTCCAGAAAACCGTGAGGGCAAACTTTTTCGGAGTGAGGGTTGTAAACTCTTGGAACAATCTACCAGAGAGTGTTGTGACGGCACCGAGTGTGAGCTCTTTCAAGAGAAGACTTGACCAACACTGGAGCGGGTTCAGGTACATTCAGGAGCCGGTGCATGCCCAGTATTTGCCAACAGTGCGTGACAGAGACGTGACCGATCGCCCGGGAGGCTAGCGAGCCGATCAGTGGCGAAGAGGATAAAAGTTAAAAAAAAAAGTTAATAAATTGTCCAGAGCCTTCACGAAACATACAGTACGGTCGGAGCCTCGGTGACGTCGGGATGACATCATTTCTGAGTGTAGTTAACGAAAGATCGGACCTACTGTAAATTACCGGCTTAACCTCTAGTGTTACTATTTTGGCCGGTTTAAATTACCCTAGGTTTAGTTGGTTCGTTTCATTAACTGGGAGAAAATATTTAGCCTTGCCCGTACACACCTCAGGAGTTTTAAAAACTTATTCTCGTAAGCTTACACAAATTTTCTTTCTGCGAATATAACCAATACAGGATTCGTGAAAATGGTATTCTGGATATACAGAAGTGACACCTTTGTCCAGTATAAAGCACATCACAAGTGAAAAAATATAACATACAGTAAGTACCTTATCATAGAGTTCGTTCAAACTTGGCATCAGTAAAGAGACGCCCGTTCTCTGTACCGTCTTTTTTTTTTCATAGTTTGTTATCTAGTACCTGTTTTTATAGGGCATCCATAATATTTGACATTGCAGTCCTGTTGTAACTGATTATTATGTTCAACAGAATGCGTTCACTGGTCGTGTTGGTGACGGTGTTGGCAGCAGCCACTGCCATACCGAGGGAACGTCGACAAGCTGAACCAGACTGCTTCTGGTGGGAACCCGATTGCAACAACCCAGTCGACCCTGGCGGAAATACATCTCCTGTACCAAATAACACTGTGGATACACTCGTCCTGTGCAACGGCGGCGCGGGCAGTTGTGTGCCCTACTATTTGTGTCGGGAGGGAGACATCGTTACCGATGGTGCAGGACTCATCAACATCAGGTAAATCTTCACTGGTATATTTACAGATGCGGTTATATTCAGCTCAGGCAGTGTAGTGGACAGCATTTTTGTCTCTCAGGTGCTCTTGGGTTCGATTCTCGGGCGAGGTTGAACTCTAGGCCATTTATATTTTCAGTGAGATCTGGTTATAAAGCTATCCAAAGTACGGCCGTGGTTCTTACATGCCCCTTCATAACTTTAACAAAGTCTTGACAACGATTAGTAACCATTTTTTTACAGGTTTATTACTGCCCACGTGATGATGATCTCGTTTGCTATTAAAGACAACTTCTAACGGCATCTCTCTCACACACAGGTTTGGGAACTCTACCACCGGACAATCCAACTCGGACTGTCCACAGTTTTTGGATGTGTGCTGCAACAACCCTACAGACGAAATACCACCCACGGTCGATCCATACCTTCCCCACTGTGGTCAACGCAATCCTCAGGGAGTTAACGCTCGCATCCTCGGCTTCAAAGTTAGTATTGTATTTATTTTCGTAGATAGATAGATTTGTTCATAAAAATCGCCATCCAAGTTTACTTTTGGTTTAGCATGTGTAAATAGACAATGCAGGTATACGGTGCACAAAGTAAAAAAAAAAGTATCGCGGGTGGGGGAGGGGGGGGGGTCTGCTGCTGTGCTGGGAGGGTTGGTATGCTTGCCTGTATGGCAAAAATTTTTACCTACCTTTGGTGGGGCAACAGAAGTACATAGACTGTGTAGGTATACAAATAATATACCTAAACAGTGCGGGTATACAAACATTCTTAAACAGGAAGGCAATTCGACCAAAGATAACCAGTAAAGTCCGTAACTTAGAATAATTGTGGTTTAGTGTACAGTTGAGGACAAAAGTTCACTCTCCGTGGTGAAACAGAGTCAAGGGAATGAGTCTCCGAACTGACTTATCCAGACTGTTTCATCTCATTTGGGGTCGACGCGGCTTCATTTTGGGCGGGAGCGAACTTTTGACCCCCGACTGTACGTACTGATCACTTACGAGCACGCGCTTTATGACCTTGTTTACGGAAGCACAGAAATATCTTCCAATAACAAGTTTAGTAAATCTACATTATATGAACTGTTGGAAAATGAGTCGTTCATAAGCTTGAGACTAATATCTGGAGTTGGCCCGTAAAATTGGTTAGTACAGTATGTGTTAAAAAGATGACACCATTATGACTCTTATATCAATCAGCAAGACAGAAAAAGCTGATAAGTGATAAATTCTGGTGAAATTAGAAGCAATTATACATATTTCACCACCGATAAACTTGTGAAATTCAATGGACACTAAATTTCCACTAATTTAATAGATTTTAAAACATGGTACATAAATACTTTACCATGGTTACTAAAAGTAAAAGCTTAACGGGGTGGATCATGGAGGTTAAAAGTGAAGGTACATACAGTACAGTATGTTGAAAAATCCACGTGATGCCCCTCCTCTCTCGTGCTGTAAATGAAACACAATTCATATTTCGTAAAAATTTGGTTTACCCTAACAATATACCCAAACTATACCTAAAGCCAGTTAGGTTAGTAATAATTTATAGTTTTTATTATTGTATGCATGATGCTTCCTAGCGACTATTTGTACAGTATATACCGTATACATGTAGCGTACCAGGTAGGTCGCCTGTCAATCTGACCAACTCATTTACAGTTTGAGATGATTCGGAATGTTTCTGGAATAAAACTTTCATTCATTTGGTAACACCAAATATTTCCACCTTAGTAACCAAGGTTTAGATATTAACTTTTAATATCTAAACCTTAGTTAATATCTAAGTTTTAGTTAATTTAAATTCATTGTAGTCTTCATCATTAACCTCTTAAATTTTTTTGTATTTAAATGAATAAATCGTTTCCTTGTTTAGGATGAATTTATAAATTATTTTCATGTCGTAAATGTGTCTGCTAAACAATGTTTGTTTATATCAACAGGACAACCAGGCACAATTTGGTGAATTCCCGTGGATGGTTGCGGTGCTGCGGGAGGAGCAGGTGGTTTCTGACAAACCTGTCAATCTGTACGTATGTGGAGGCTCCCTGATCCACCCGTCCGTGGTGCTCACCGCCGCCCACTGCGTCGCCGCCTATAAAGCTAACGAACTAAAGATTCGTGCTGGTGAATGGGACACCCAGCGTACCTACGAACTTTACCCTCATCAGGAAAGCAAAGTTAACTCTTATGTTGTCCACGAAGGTTACAACTCGGGTGCGCTCTTCAATGATTATGCTCTCTTGTTCCTGGAGCAAAGTCTTGAGCTTGGGCCCAACGTGGACACTATCTGTCTTCCCACTGCAGACCTGAATTTCCAAAATTCCCAGTGTTGGGCTACAGGCTGGGGCAAGGACAAGTTTGGAAAGGATGGAACATTCCAAAACGTTTTGAAGAAGATCCAACTGGAAGTTACGACACATAAACATTGCCAAACTGCTCTAAGAACCACAAGACTGGGCAAGTTCTTTGTACTTGACGATTCGTTCATTTGCGCCGGAGGTCAACCTGGTGTGGACACCTGCAAAGGCGACGGTGGTTCCCCATTGGTATGTCAAGACCCTCAAGATCCCAGTAGGTACGTCCAGGCCGGCATCGTGGCATGGGGCATTGGTTGTGGTGAAGAGGGCATCCCCGGAGTGTACGCCAATATACCTTACGGTAGCCAATGGATCCTGGAAAATGCTGTTTCAGGATTAAATAAACAGAATATCCCAGTCGGGAGTTACTGGTAGTATATTATGTAACATATCTACCGTCATTTTAAAATTCATTTTAACGTAAGTTCTGTCGTTATGCCAGTTTGTTAACCATCCAACACAAACTTGTCTTGTGACCATAAATATAAAGTTACTTCAAAACTTTTTGCGACAATAATCTACACGCACTGTAAGTTGCTGGTGATAGAAGCAACCCAGTGTAAGACCATGTTTAGTCTCGCTCATTTGGGAACCACGGGGAAAAAAAAACAAGGAACGGCAGCAGGAGAAAATAAGGGTTACAAAAAGTTTCATTCATCAAGTGTGTCTCGCCGTAGTGATTACTGCTGACCTACAGTAACCTTAATGTCGACTCCTGAAGCTTATCGCTGTTGACCTCAGTGTGCCCACGCTTAATAGACCTTTTGTAAGTACTGTTAGTCCTGTGCTTTTGTATTTAAATTTCATATATTTATGTAAATAAATTATAAATAAAGCCCTTCGTTTGATTTATTCCACTATATGTTTTCTCCGTCAGGCATGAATAAATACTACAACTGTAACGTTACAATTGATGAAAATTTTAAGCATTCCGTATCTACTATGATTTATGAGATTATTTATATACGATTCATAATTTACTGTAACATTACTTACATAACAAGGTTTAGGACACGATTTGAAGATCCATAATCACATTTGCAAAACATAATAGGTGGTTTGTGTTCGCTGACAATGGCTTTCAACTAAATACTGTATAACCAAACTAAATAACGTGTAATATGTACTTAAGGATTGAATGGATATAATTTCATTGTTTACAGGCGCTAAAATATATCGGTTATGTTTGACTGTTAAGAAAAGGTTACAAGAAAGTTAATGCCGTTTTCATTTTAGGTAAATAAATAGTAAATAACAGTCATTTTAACTTTGTTACGCAAGGTAGTTTGCCATTGATGAAAATGACGAGCACTGCCAAAACCACTTCTACAACTGCGGCCAAAATTCCCATGACACTTTGACAATACCTGGCATCTACATGTGGAATACACGTCACTACGTTGTAAATGAAGAACACCGTGTTTCATTGTTCGAAGTCAATCAGAGAACCGTCCTCATATTTGAGGGTTGGTGACCACAGTCCTCCACTCTAAACGTTTTCAGGCTGTTTTTACCAATCCTCCAATAGTTTGTTCCTCTCTAGTTCTCCTACCCTCAACTTTGCCCATTAACATTTGTTATTATCCCCTCAGCTCTAATTATATGTCCAAAGTATCTTTTTTTTTTCTGTACATTTCAAGTAATTCTCTCAAAGTTTGTTAACCTTAGTACTTTTTCATTTGTTTTCCAATCAATGTAACTTATTCTTAACATTCGTCTATAACACCACATTTCAAAGGCTTCCAACCACTTTCTGGGTGTCTGCTGAAAGTGTCTACGCTTCTGACCCATACAACAGTCCTTGTCAAATACTGTAAAGCTTTCAGCAGCCATTTTCTCCAATTAAAGTTAATGTCCCTTTTCATAAGTTATTTTATATTATTGCAAGTTTTTTGTTTGGCCTATTCTTTTTTTTCGATTTCATTTGCACATCTACCATCAGTCGGCAGTCCATCACAGCTAATGTTTACTTTTATCCTCTTCACCACTGATCGGCTCGTTAGCCGCTTGGGCGGTCGGTCACGTCTCTATCACGCACTGTTGGCAAATACTGGGCATGCACTAGCTACTGAATGTATCAGAACCTGTTCCAGTGTTAGTAAAGACTGTTCTTGAAAGAGCTCACATTCGGTGCCGTCACAACACTCTGGTAGGTTGTTCCAAGAGTTCACAATTCTCGTTTGGAAAAAGTTTGCCCTCAAAGTTTTCTGGACTTGTGGCTTTTTCAATCTTGAGCTGTGATCCCCTTGTGGGACGGGCGTCCGTCAGCTCCAGCTATGTACACTCGACAGAGTAGTGCCCTTTGGGATGTTTATACACATCAATTAGGTCACTCTTTGCCCGTCTGTTGTATAAGATAGGCAGTTGCAGGCGCTCTAATCTTTATGGGTAACTAAGGTGCAGGAGCACGATCTGGTGGCCCTCCTTTGGACATTATCAATCAACTGCCAGTGCCTAGCATATCTCTGGGACCAGACGGGTGACAGTACTCCAAGCGGGGAAGCACCTTATTCATGAAGATTATTACGAGGGACGGACCGTTTAGGTATCTGAACAACCTTCTTATAAGACCTACTAGTTTAATTACTCAATTCACCTTCTCATAATGGCTCGAGAACTTCAGTTCATTGTCAACATACTGTACACACCCAGGTCCTTTTCACATTGTCTATTAATACAGTTTCTTCATCCCGTTGGGATATAAGATAAGCCTCCTTCCCGTTGGTATAACCCAGGTGCATCACCTTACACTTCGTGACATATTTACCTTGGCAGCCATTTCTTTGATCACTCTTGAAGCCCACAGAGATCTTTCTGCAGCTTTTCACCGTCTGTTTGGTTCTTAGTGTCCTTGAATAACTTGGCATTGTCTGAAAACATTTGTATGGTGGTTTGTATAGCTTCCGGCCTGGCATTTACGAAACAAACAAACAACAACGGGCCCAATATACTGCCCTGTGGTAATCCGTTTGTCACGGGTACACATGACGATTTCGTGCTATTAATCACTATACGTACACTGCTTGCGATCATGCAGAAAGTCACCGATCCACGCTGGGACACTTTTCCGAATCCCGTACCCTTCCAGTTTAATTCTCAGCCTCTCATGGCGTATGCTGTCGAAGCCTTGGTAAAATCTAAGAATATATCGATATTTCCACCCTGTTCCAGAATTTGGATCCAAACATCCAGTATCTTCAGTAACTTTGTTAAACAGGAGCGTCCCGACAAAAACCGTGTTGGCAATCCTTTACAAGGTTGTTTCGTCGAAGATGTTCCATCTTGGCACCTCTAATAATGGTCTCAAGTAGTTTACATACTATGCTGGTCAGGCTCACTGGTCTATAATTATTCGTAGAGTGATGATTGCCCTTCTTGAAAATATGACTCTTATAAGCTATTTTTCAATCACTGGGGACCTCTTGCTCATCTAAGCATTTACAGAACAGGATTTTCAGGGACTCAGCAAGCTAGTTGCACAATTTCTTAGCACTCTGGAATGCACCATGTCAGGGCCGGGACTCTTAGGACGAAAATTACGATGTTATTTACTTAGACTTTAGCAAAGCATTCGACAGAGTACCGCATCAGAGGTTTCTGAGAAGTTAAGGCTCATGGTATCGAGGGGAAAGTTTTAAATTGGATAAAATCATGGTTCAACGATAGAACACAGAGGGTCAGCGTAGATGGTGTTAAATCTGAGTAGAGCTGTGTAACTAGTGAGGTTCCCCATGAGTCAGTACTGGGCCCATTCTTGTTCATCATCATCAACATAAACGATCTAGATACTGGGATCAGCAGTGACATAAGCAAGTTTGCGGATGACACCAAAATAGGGCGGCAGATTAATTCAGGACAGGATGCAAATGCACTACAGATAGGATTTACATAAACTGCAGGAGTGGTCAGAAAAATGGCAAATGAAATTCGAACACCATCAAGTGCAGCGTACTTAATATTGGAACAAATACTGTAAACGTATACAGCCTTAACAACATCGAACTAGAGAAGTAAACTTGTGAGAGAGACCTAGGGGTTCTCGTAAGCCCGGACACTTCGGCCTAGAAAACAGTGCATTAATGTTCGAAATACGGCAAACAGAGTATTGGGTTTTATATCTAGAAGTGTAAGTAATGAGAGTGCATAGGTCATATTGCAACTATATCTTGCGCTAGTCAGGCCGCACCTCGACTCTGCTGTTCAGTTCTGATGCCCTTGTTATAGAATGGATATCAATTCACTGGAGTCGGTGCAGCGAAGAATGACGAAAATGATTCCGGAACTTAGAAACCTTCCTTATCAAGATAGATTAAAGAAACTAAACTTGCATTCCCTAGAAAGACGAAGAGTGTGGGAAGATAAGTTAGAAGTATTTAAGTGGGTGAAAGAATCAATAAAGGAGATATAAAGTTCTTATATTATCCGAGCAGGATAGGACTCGTAGCAGTGGATTTAAGTTGGATAAGTTAGGTTTAGGACGGAGATATGAAGAAACTGGTTCACAAATAAGGTGGCGACGAGTGGAACAAGCTTAACAACTTTGTAGTGAGTGCTGGGAAGCTGGACAGTTTCATAAGGAGGCTCGATAGATTCATGGCTGATAGAGTGTGGTAGCAACTCTCTGCAGGAGCTGCCATGAACAGCCCAACCGGCCTATTACAGACCCCATATTTTCTTATATTAAGCTTGACAATTTATTTCTTATAACCTCTTCCGAGAACACAATGTGCGTCCGCATTGTGTCAAACCGTCTATTCTCAAACGGAGGAAGACTGTTCGCATCTTCTATTGTGAAGACCGAGGAAAAGAAACTCTTCAACGCCTCCACCTTGTCCTGGTCGGAATCCGCGTAACTACCATCTTTAAGCCTCGGGTCCGATACGCCTTCTCTCGTTTTTAATATAGACTTTGCGTAGCGGTAATACGCCTTTGGGTTTGACTTGACCTTATAACCTGCCTCTGAAACTTTTTTCAGCCCTTCTACACTCTGACTTTGCTTGGTTCCTGGATCTGGTATACACCCTCGTGTCCTGCACATCATTTCTCCTAACCCACGTTTCGAATTTCTGAGTTTTCTTCTTAACTTTGTCGACCGCCACATAGTTCGTGCGTAACGGTCTCTTTGTATTCCTGGAGGCACTGGGTTTGGTCTTGGGTATAATATTTAACGATCAAATGGTTCAGTTACTGGCTATGATATTCAACCTAGTGTCTGAGTGCTTATATCTTAGCGAGTCAGGCCAGTGGATACCCCCTCATCTCCTCCCTCATCTTTTAATAATTTCCCTTGTATTTGAAACTTGGCCTGGTTTTGTCATGAACCAAGTAACAGTTAAATCTGTAAAACTAAGTTGTGTTACGGACTGGTGGTCCTAGATTGTGTCAAACCATAGTTCACCACTCCGGTAACAGTAAAAAATAACAAAGTCGCCAATGAAATTAATAAATAAAAGGAATAAGCAATACACTGAGAATAAATCAAAATACAAATTCATTTAACAAAAGAAATAAAGCACCTGACAATCACCAACAAACGAATCAAAAGACAAATTTACAAGTATTAACCGATTTGGGAATATTCACAATTCAGCAGACAAACAAGTTACGTTAATCATAATTACAGTGACAAGTGAGCAAACAATAACGAGGGTTGGGGTACACCAACCAATATAATACAAAGAAGATAGATAACATCACCGTTCTTTTACCAGTATAATGTTACGAAATTTCAAGCCTGGTACACCATGGTGTATCCTAC